AAGCGAGTTCTTTCTGCAAGACCGTCTTCCAACCGGACGGCGCCGTCCTGCTCTCTGTAGAGCTGTAGCAGGTGGCACGTCTAAGCTGTGCTTCTTGAGTTGATTGCAGGTTGACGGGTGCAGATTGTTTTATGTCTGGCGTGGACATTGCGGTTGACATGGAATGTCCACTATCGATGAGATTCGTACTTACTTTAGCCATTCGAACCTACTTAATTCCAAACTACTAGATAGCTACTCCTGCATACTTATAGCGTTAAAATTATCGAGAATTTGGAATTCCACTCTACAGCTTACAGATTGGTCGTCATGCCTTGATTTTCTGGAAAGCAGGGTATTAAACAATCGGATCTAACACGTCTTGGATCATCTTCGCCTGCCGCCGGTAAGCTCATATTAATACAATCTATGTATTGAGCCTTTCAGGATATCTTTGATGATAGATCCTCTTAGGAAATTCCCTGTATGTTTCAACCCAAATCTCTTACCTACAACAAGGAAACCTGCAAGGATAGGTTCACCTATGCATCGACATGGTCCATTTCAAATTTCAGCTCAATTAAAGAACTTTGGAATTATTAGCATCCTTTTTGTGCAGTGGGTACATATCTCTCCCACGGTGCAGCCGATCCCTGTCGGTTACGTTGTACAAAGTACAGTAATGATAATATTGTTAAATTGCAAAAGAATCCCAGTGAAGGACAATTGAAATTGAGTGAGCTGCTGCAACAGGAAGCCAGTAGCCTATGGGCTAATGCATACAATGAGCTGCTCGATAAATTTGAAGCACATGTACAATCCAGATAACATGGAGAGCACAGACGGTGACGAACGGAAAAAACTAAATACCTTGAAACAGTTTTGGAATGTGCCATGGAGGCAAAAAGGCATAATATTGCCAACCAAAAGAAACTAAAGTGGAGAAGCAAGGAAATCAATGTGCAAGAGAAAGTGGAAAATCTTGTTGGTTGGATCACGAAGTTTAAGGAAGTTGTAAACATCGCAGTACAATATGATCCAGTGCATGCAGCACTACCTTGGGCGAGTTATATTAATCTTAATTACCCAGGAGAAACAAAACCTGCAACTGCTATTATTGTAATGAAGCAGATTGCATTCCTAGTTGGCCTCTATACCATTTACAAGAAGTTGTATCTCATAGAATGCGAAGGAACGAAGATTCCAGACATTGCTAAAGCAACTAAGATAAGCTCTGGCGAGCATTAAGTTGGTGTATAGGCTTGTATAAAAGTATGATAGCTACAACATTCTGGCTTGTATGGGCGCGAGCTAACATTCACTCTAGGTAAATTGAAGAATCTAAAACCTCCCGCTGCTACTTCTACAGAGATTACAGCACTTAATGGGCCACAGTCAGAGGTAAATTCGGCTGCTTAAGTTGTAGAAATTCGCTGTAAGATATACAAACCTTCAGGGATTAATATTTTGGCGGAAAACCACCACTAACACAATTTAGACAATTCTCACACTCGCACGCAACAGCAAGGGGTATCTGATAAAAGCACAATGCTGTTACAGGATTTCTTGTCTGTATTGTCAAAGAATAACAAGACTGTAACAGCAATATATGAGGAGATCCAAGGTGAGTGCAGCAATTGAAGTGTTCTCACCGTGTTAACCAGACTGCTTACCATATTAATTATATCCCTTTAGAAGCTGAAAGGATCAAGATACTTGAGTGGTTCTCTGTTGTTCTATATTGGGGTCACCATGATTTCAACAGTGATGGCCGGGTTGTAGAATTGGGAATTGGCTTTTTCAGCGGAAGGAGTTCAAACATTAGCATCGATCAGAGGAATCAGAGAATTTAGCCTATACAGAATTCGTAAGTTGCAACCTACATTGGTAGCATTACTCATGTATCTGCTGGCACGTTCACTTGCTAAGCTGGTACTAGGAAGACGAAGTTTGTATCGACAACAATCAACTATCTTCAGGGAAGGAAAATCACCTATTTCTATTGCAAGCGAGATGAAGAAGTCTGCCGAGATAGACATATTATTCTTCTGTTGATTATCAAGCAGCTGGCATGCACTCCAAATAAAACTACCATTTATACAGAATCATTGAAGGCCTATAAAAATGACAAGAAAGGCCCAACCTCTCAAGAAAATCTCCCTGTGGATGTGTGTCTTATACTCTTGTCCAACTTACTTGCTGTAACGGCGGGTCTATGACAAGGACTGTGGTCGGGCTCCAGGGAGCGCTTACTATGGCCAAAGACTATGACAAGGGAGCAAGAGGTTCAAGGAGGAACGGAATGTATTTAGTACGACTAGAATACAAGACGTTGCGTGAAGAAAAGAGAGAAGAGCGTGAAGAAGAGAGAGAAGAGGAGAGTGGGAAATAGCCAGCTATATATACGTGTTCCGATGCCACTGTTGCCACCTAATCCTCCTTGCCTCCCGTTGCTACCCGAGGGTTATTCCTGCGTGCCCTACCTTGCGCAATTTTGTGCGTCTATGCGGTGCTTCCTGCAAGTGCCTTACCCTTCTGCACACCTTAATCGAGCCTAAGGGGTTAGGGCCGTGACACTTGCATATTATGAATATTCAGTCATTGTCTTTAATGCACTCGGTGAATGTTCTCAAGACTCTTGGAGGTTGAATTTAAATGATTTGCTATCTATCCTTTAGAAATCCAAGTGTCTCGTAAAAGCTTTCAATCCAAGCGGCATACCCTCGAAATCGAAGACCGCTTTTTATATTTAAGGCAGGCATTTTTTTAAATTTGTCCCAAGAATAATTTCCCAAACTTATTATTGAAGCAATGACAATACTAATGAAATCAGCACTTTATCAGGTGAACTCTACAGTCTGTCCCTTGAGCGGGAGATTCATACTCGACTGGAAAAACTTCCGAAGGACCTAACTGGTGTATACATTGAAATGTAGTCACAATAATGCACCAGTCAGGAAGTAATCTGCAAATAGCCACACGTGCATTGAAGTGGATGACTGTTTCACAAAGGCCTCTGAAGCCTCATGAGCTTATATTGCGGCAGAACTTGACCCGACTACAGTGGTAGACAGTACTGCTCTGCTGGAACTAACCTTGGATATTGATCTGTTGATTCAATTCTACGGAGGGTACCCTTACGGGACAAGTAGCTGATTGTGATACAGTTTTCACATCTCTTGGTACATTAATATCTGGAAATGGAGTCCATGAACTAACATTGGGATACCATTGACGCACATCGTCTCGTTATGGAAGCGTGTCTATGGATACTACAGAGTCAATAACTTACCCTCCTGATTCCGTTCCCCTCCATTAATTTCGTCACTGTAGATCTTATCAAGATCTTGTACTCTACGCAACTACAAGCAACAGACTATCCAAGCATATACTCAATATACAAGCTTCTGCTCTCATTTGATAAGTAAACTACCGTTTATGTCAAGTTGAAGGGTTCGGTCTCCACTTACACAAGGTCACGAGAAATGAGTTATGAAGAGCGTAAGCAGCTAAAATATATTCCAGTTTATCCTGCATTTGCCACTGCCATTGGTGGCTTAGGAGAACTGATAAGATGGCTTTGGCTTGCAGGGGGTGTTTTTATTAATGTCATAGACACGAGGAGGCACCACATCTAAAATATACTATTACTGTATATCCAGCAACGTAGAGCTTGTGGAGCGGATGATAATCATGGGCGCTGACGTCGATTTCGCCAATTCGCTGAAAGGCACAGCCCTCGCTGTTGCTATAGTATTGAGCAAGCAAAATCATATCGCTCCTCCTAGATCGAGGGGCGGTCTGTAACGGAGGGCCAGCGTGAATATCCCGTTTGGTGGCCAATATAGCATTGCCCTGGGCGCTTCTGTGTCTATGGGCTGTTTCGAGCTGGTTAGGCTTCTCATGAAACACAGCGCTAACCCCAACCTGACAAACGACGATGGCATGAATGCTCGCGCTATGGCTGAGCATGCAGGATACCTAGATATTGTCCAGTTGTTGGATTCATGGGATAGTGGGTCTGAGTCAAGCTCAAGCAGCTAGCAATTCTTCCAAAGCGTAGCTGTTGCTACTATAGGGAGTAATAAAGGACTTGTTAGCATAGTCTAGTGTTATTTCCAGTCGCATCTTTGTTAATCTACCGCGTTTATATCCTACTTTTATATCGCAAGCGCGAGGTTATGCAGATTAATTAGTCCATTCTTTATTGAATCACTTTTTGTATTCTCACTATTATATTTATGGCCATGAACACACCCCCGAGCGGATAGGTAGATAATGCCCCTCACTTAAGTACAAATCAATTCTTGAACCGCTACATTTCGTTAAGTTGGCTTAGTGTTCTATGTTCAGCCTCTTACCCTGAACTTCTCACAATCTGGATCCGCCTCTCGTGCATCACACTAACCCACACCATATCATAGTACACGCGAGCAAATTCATTTACAGCATCTAGTGTGTTCAATTTTATTATTCACAGTTCATAATTCCATTAACTCTGCGAGTCCCCCGATACCGGAACCAAACATCGTACTTCAGATACTTGTAAGCAGCAATAACTTCATGTCATAGCATCTTGTTGAAGGCCCTCTTTTCAGTGCTTGTTTTGAAAGTTTGATTATAATGAGTAATATACGTATCCATCAGTGTATTGGGTGAGCGGAAATTTATAGCCGTGCCTCGCGAGTATGGAAGGTTTTGTCAGGTTCTGATTGCAGATCAGAGTTACTTGTCCCGACACTATTAGGGCACATAAGTAGTCTAGTTACATGATACATGTAGCGTGCTCTCGTACCAGTTTGTATGTTTGCAGCAGAAGGGGAATCCGACTCGATTGAGAGTTCGGCGTAACTAGGGCGATTATAAAAGTAGTCTTATCAGACCTTTTGGGCACTCTTGTTTTTGCATATGCTCGGAGGGAGATTCCCAGACTTAAGTACTGCCTTAAAATTTAATCTTGTAACAAACTTTTACTTATGTAAACTCAAGTAGCTTTTGTTCAGAAAACCTGTACCTCAAAAGGCACAGTGGTCTAATGGTATGACTCCTGCTATGTAAGGACCTGCTAAATGGATGCAGAGAGTGGGTGATCTGGGTTCAACTCCCAGCTGAGCCATTAACTTCTTTCTTTTCGTATTATATAGCTTTAGCCTCGCCTTGCTCAGGAACACAAACAGAACGGCCAGACTGTAAATAACAACACACCAATTCCCAATATTGAAATGCTAAGACTAATATATATGTAGTCACTGCGCCGGCACGCTCTAGTATTCGCCAGGGACGTGGGCCGACTGAAATTTTAGTATATTTAATATTTATTTTTAGATAAAAATATAATTTATATTGGTTTTTGGTTTTTGGTTTTTATGCATCCAAATGCTTTGGAGTGGATTTGTTGGTGGATCCTTGGACATTATAACTCTATACTGCTCACTAGACTAACTTAGGTTAATTATAGAAGCTCTACGAGCGGCTTTGCCAACCAGACTATATCCTCACACCCAGGAGAATTTGAGATGAGGGATGGAGATGGGGAAAGGACAGTTTAGGTTCTGGGCGCTAACTCTATTGGAAGTGGAATTGGGCTTGGCGGGTGAGCGCTTCTCTTAGAGACTTGGCGGGGTGTTTCCGATTCTAGGTTCTTATCAGATTCTCTAGGAAGTTGAGTTCTCGGCGAGTTCTTGGCGAGTTCTCGGCGAGTTCTCGGCGAGTTATCCTCACACCTATTGAAAAGCACGTGTGTCACACATATCCGCTTGCAGCGATGCCACACATATCCGCTTGCAGCGACGCCACACACGTAACTACAGCATATACCTGCTTTACATGAAGCCTCGTACGTTATGAAGGTGAAGCCTCATACGTTATGATAAGCCACTCACGTATCAACAGCAATACCTGCTTGCTACTGCGTTATCCCTATTCATGTATATATAGTGTTGGGGAAACACCCTTCTTGGGGTAGACGAGTGTATAGAGATACAGTACATACACACACATACTCTCACGTACACATATACGTTCACACATTACTCGCATATACGTGATACTCACGAACACTCACACACATACCTTTACGTACATATCTCAGGTGAAGTGGACCTTCGGTGGCCATTCATCTATCCACCGTTGCTAGTATTGCTACCCATAACCTTGTTACTTCAACAACACCCAGGAGAATTTGAGATGAGGGATGGAGATGGGGAAAGGACAGTTTAGGTTCTGGGCGCTAACTCTATTGGAAGTAGAATTGAGCTTGGCGGGTAGTTGGCACTCTTGGAATGAGAGGTCATGCAGATCTTGCATAGCAACACTTGACAGCGAATGAACAGATGAATGGCCAGTAAAGGGACACTTCACCTAATATACGAGTGTCTGGTAAGACAAGGCGAATATATGAATATATATACAAGAAAAATGTTGTATATGAGATTGTATGAGATTGTATGATTGTATGATTGTGGTGATTATATGAGAGTGTATGAGATTATATAACCTCTCCTAGAGGCAACAAGCAGAGCTCTATATACACGAAGGGATAATGCTAATGACTGCTATTACAGGTAAGTATTGCTGGAAAGCAGGAAATGCTGGAGATACGTGAGTGGCTGTCACGACATCGTATGATGTAGGTGGCAACAGCTGTATGATGTGGGTGGCAACAGCTGACTCACGTGCTTTTCAACAGGCACCGCTTCTCTTAGAGACTTGGCTTGTTTCCGTGGTCTCGTATCTAGGTTCTTATCAGATTCTCTAGGAAGTTCTAATCTCGGCGAGTTCTCGGCGAGTTCTTGGCGAGTTCTTGACGAGTTCTTGGCGAGTTCTTGACGAGTTCTTGGCGAGTTCTTGACGAGTTCTTGGCGAGTTCTTGACGAGTTCTTGGCGAGTTCTTGACGAGTTCTTGGCGAGTTCTTGGGGGTTGTTTGGCCCGAACACAAAACCAGACACCATGATCATGAAATCATTCACTCTTCACCCGTGAACTAATACATCACCCGTGAACTAATACATCACCCGTGAACTAATACATCACCCCTGAACTAATACATCACCCGTGAACTAATACACCACCCGTGAACTAATACACAGTAAATATTGTCAGTTTTCTGCTGCAAAATTTAATGCAACCAACTCCTATGAATCTGAGAGAACGGAAAATTGACTGCGCTTGTTGGATATATATGAATGTATTTGAGTAATTTATCATTGAGCTTGCGCAAAAGGAATCACAGATGAAGATGCGAGTGTGAGTTCAGGGTAACCTGAGGTTCGCTACAAGAATTCAAATGTAGCAAATATAATGTCTTATTAGGCTCTGTTGGAAGCAAAAATGGTACTTACTTCGTGGGGTGTAATTTCTAGCCCTTAACCCTAAGTTTGTAGTTGCATAGGTGCTTTGCATTTGAAATAGATCACTGTGTTACTTACCATGTACATGCGGCTTAGTCTGGCAGACCGCTCGGTGGCGAAAGTTATCGCCCGGTATATATACTCGCACGGATGATATGTAGTCTTATGCATTCAAATAAAAAGTATGTACATATACACAGTCATATCCGGGATGCAGGAAAATGCATTAGGTGCCCTAGTAGCCAGAGTCTAGATCTGTCGCTGCTCTGCTCGCACCAAGAATGTCTTTCCACCTATCAGAGTAAGGTTCCCTAAAGTGTATATTGTATCAATTACTTACAAAATTTGTAAATTGATGTTTCAAACGGAAGCAATGGCCTGTTTTGATTTATGTTTTTCTGTGTTCCAGTTCTCTGGGAGCGTGCGTATGTTGTTCATTCACCAAGCTATACATGTTCAGTCACGTATAAGCTCTCATTTTGAGGCTCAGTAACCTTTTGCAAGCTGACCTAAGTGAATTCGTTGTGCATGATAGGCATTATTTTTGCAGTGCTTGAAGCCTCATTAGAGATATTTAAACCGTGCATTATTCCACATAAAGTCAAAGAGCTGCACCACAGTCAACACCACAACTGCAAGTCTATGTAATCAGCGCTACTATCGTGAATTTCATGTTCTTGCACCTAGGCTTATATATTCGCTGCCTTGAGAAAACAAATTCTAGAACTAAGGCCGTCCGAGCTGAGAGAAATCATGACACTGTGCAAATTAACATAAGGGACTTAATATATATAGTTGACGCATATAGTTAACAGTAGAATTTAATAGTTATATACTTGATATATAGTATTCAAATGGCAGGGAATTTACAAGCAACTCACGGTCACAGAGGTATGAATATCAAGGCCGCAAATGCTAAACATGTCGAGATCACATTAAACGTGATTATTCCCTGCACAGGCATAGCTCTTCGTTCGAAGCTCGCAGCTGCAGGGGCTGGCAAGCGGCGTTGATCATATCTAATTTCCCTGCCACGCCACCCTGGATGGCAGGCACGGCAGCTGCCGCTGCACGACACAGCGCAACGAAACTCATGAGGTGACAATTACCCTAGGACTCTGCAAGCATACCTAACATCGATCCTAGCACGCAGAACATGTTCGCAACAACCAGACGACGCGCACACCAGTCCAACAAGCTGCGATTTGGGTAGCAAGGTAGGAGCTATCGGAAACACAGTTATCGCTAGGCATAGCTAACATATATAACAGGTCTGGCAGGGCCGAATTGGGTGGTCGCACAGCAACCCATGCTAGAGGCAGCAAGTATGCATGGATGCCCACCATATATCAAGGTCGCAAATGCATGAACTCTTACCATAAATCGTGGCCGCAAATGTATGAATTCCATACATACGTCTGTGTCGAGAATCAAGAAAGATATCTTGAAGAGTGCAAGCACGCACTGACCCACACACATAAGCATGTTGTCATCCACCATCGTATGTCGTTGCGAGTTGTTGATTACTAAGGAGAGATGTCAATCTGAACTTGCAAAACCTCTTATTTCGCACTTTCGTGCTTACTCGTGCCTAACAGGGGTTCCCCTTGGCGCCTTCGTTCTCACTCCGCCGCCAGCACTCGTTCGCTCTCTCTCGAGTGCCCGACAGCCAAACCACAGTTGCAGCCAAACCACAGAATTTTCAACGTTCACACCTGAGATGCAGTTTGATAACCCCCCCATGAATTTTCTTCACTCAATACTAATATATCTCGATAGTGCTCCTTCTAGACCACCTACTCTAAGTGTCCGCCAGTCGATATCACATTGTGGTGGGGTGTGGGTGAAGTTGTCGGTCGGCCATCACTGGCGATGAGAAGGACTTTACATCTGCAATTCTACATTATCTCAACAACTACTGGACCAATTTGAATAATTCTTGCACTATTGGAATCACCTGTTTCGGCTCTATGGAATGGTACTACCTGCTTACACTCTCTGTGTTGTTGATGGATAACTCCTGGAACAATGATCATTGGCGGAAGTGTAGAACCATCAGCTGAAATTGTTTCACAGACAGTAATAAGATCTCGATTAGTTGAACTTCCAATTGTCATAGGTTTTGTACGATCAAGCTCTCTTGTAACAATCCATTGATTCTTGCCAATACCAATTCGGAATCCTGTTTCGTCATAGTTGTATTGATCTTGTGGTTCAATACCCTTTTCCATACATATTCTTTGATAGTCTTCAAGAAATTCTGTAATGGTCTCTGGTATTTGTGCATTTTTCCGTGCAGCCTCAAGAGATACTTGCTTACGAGTACCGTACTGTGGATATCGCTTTAAAAACCGCCGGACCCAATGTTCTCCTACTACCGGTGGTGAATCATTGTCGCTGGTGTGATTCCGTCTTAAAATAGAATTTGCGCACTCAGCAATCATAGGAAGGCGAGCAGAAAGTCCCATTTTATCAAGGCGATCAATATACTTGCAAACTGCAAGCTCTTCTGCTTCAGCAAGCTTTCTGTTGTGTGGTAGTCGTTCATTTAGTGATGGAATTCCGTTATAGCGGTCACGAAGCCTTCTCTCTGGTACAAAAAATTCTCGCGCCACAGCAGCAATATTTGGACTTTCTAAGGTGGAGAGATGCTCAATAGCCTGCTGTATCCGAGCCTCAACATTTTTATATGGCTCTATAACCTTGCGAGGTGTGGGGGTTGTCGACATTGTGAACTTCTGCCAGGAGGTTGAAAATTCTGTGGTT